TTTATTAACCGATTTTAATTTAACAAGTCTCATTTTGTAGATAATTTTACTCCCTATAAGCTGTCTGTGAGTCACTTTTCGCTAAAATTGATGGTTTTCCCTGCAAAGTGAAAAAACTGTTTTCCTCACTTATTTGTTTAAATAGAAAAGTTAGCTAATAAAAGTTTTTGACTCACGAGACGAGAGATGTCTTGTATTATGTTCCTTTAGACAATTTTACAATAATCTAGCGGATAGGACTAATTTCGCTAATTTTCCTGGTGTAATACCGCAATAAATCTCTAAGTGTAAGTTTAATGCTATAACAGATATTTAATTAAATAAAAAAAATCAAATCAGTCATGATATTCTTGAATAAAGAATAGTTATTTTTTTGAAATTAAAACTTTGTAGATAGACTTCTATACACTGTAAAAAAATCGGTGTGAGTGAAAGCAATAAAGGTTCGGAGTGATTCAACTGAGTGAAATTATTGAGTACAGAAGTCTGTTTTTATCTTATTGGCGGGAACCCTGAATGTCGGGACGCTTTGACATCACTATTCCATGTTAATAATTGTCTAATGGACTGAATTTACCTTTATATACATAATTATGTGACTTACGAGTAACCCTAGCCTTCCTCTAGCGACTCCGTGTAGCAAATACGCGACGGATTAGTCGATCCCGTTTAATCTACCCTTATAGTTTGGAAAATCCGTCAAAAAAACCAGCTACTTGTTCCTTTCTTTTCCAATTACTATCAATTTAACAATTTGATTTAATTCTACTTTGCGACCTCTACGCTCTTCTCGTGATATTGCGCGTTATTAAAAATATGGGTTTCTATGCTGGCGCCTCCCAGACGCAACAGGTGACTGTCACATGGCCCCGACTCTAAGTGAACTTGTTAAAAATATGGCTAAATTTCTCCGAAGGCGACGCTACCTACTTGAAATTCTTGACTTTCGATAATTTGTGTTGACTGAAATATTTTACTTTTTGGCCCCTCCGTTCCGAGAACTA